GAAAACTTATTTGAAAACATAATGAAAGAGAACTTCTCCAGTCTGGCAAAGGAAAGAGACTTCCAGGAAGTCCAGGAAGCTCAGAGAATCCCAAACAAGTTGGACCCAAGGAAGCACACACCAAGACACATCATAATTACATTACCCAAGATTAAAGATAAGGAGAGAATCTTAAAAGCAGCAAGAGAAAAGGAGACAGTTACCTACAAAGGAGTTCCCAGAAGACTATCAACTGAGTTCTTCAAAGAAACCTTACAGGCCAGAAGGGGCTGGAAAGAAGTATTCAAAGTCATGAAAGGCAAGGACCTACAACCACGATTACTCTATCCAGCAAAGCTATCATTTAGAATGGAAGGGCAGGTAAACTGCTTCCCAGATAAGGTCAAGTGAAAGGAGTTCATCATCACCAAGCCCTTATTATATGAAATGTTAAAGGAACTTATCTAAGAAAAAGAAGATAAAAATACAAATAAAATGACAACAAACTCACAGCTATCAACAACTGAACCAAAAAACAAAACAAAACAAAAACAAACACAAAACAAACTAAGCAAACAACTAGAACAGGAAAAGATTCACAAAAATAGAGCTCACATGGAGGGTTATCAGCAGGGAGGGGGAGGAGGGAGAATGGGGGAAAAGGTACAGGGAATAAGCAGCATAAATGGTAGGTACAAAATAGACAGGGTTAGGTTAAGAATAGTATGGGAAGTGGAACAGCCAAAGAACTCATACATGACCTACCGACATGAACTAAGGTGGGGGAGATGCTGGGTGCTGGGGGTGTGCAGGGCAGAGGGTAATGAAGGGAAGAAAAAAATGGGACAACCTTAATAGCATAATCAATAAAGTATTATTTAAAAAATAGATAAAAAAAAAACCATGTCTCAGGGGATTGAGTGCTGGCCTGTGAACTGAAAGGTTGCTGGTTTGATTCCCTCTCAGGGAACATGCCTGGGTTGTGGGTAGGTCCCTAGTAGGGGGCATGCAAGAAGCAACTGAATGGTGTTTCTCTGACACATTGATGTTTCTCTCCCTCTCTTTCTCCCTCAATTCCCTTCTCTCTCTCTAAAAAGAAATAAATAAAACCTAAAAAGACCCAAGTATATGTTGTGTATAAGGAACTCAGTTTAAATATAAAGATAATATCATAATCTATATACTAGGTTCAATATATAGATTAAAAGGGATAGAGGAAGATATATCATACTAAAGCTAATTAAAAGAAGTGAGATTAGCTATGTTAATTTCCCCCAGAGCAAGGAAAGTTATCACAGATAAAGAGGAATGGCAGTTAATGGTAAAGAGGTCATTCCTCAAGCAGATACTTGTGAAGTGTGGGGCTTGTCTCTTTTTGAAATATGGAAGCAAGGCAGAGATTGAAGAGACTCCTGAATCAATGCAGGCAAAGAATGTTGTACCTGCCCATCAGCTGGAGGTTTCAGCATCTTCTGTCTTATGGAACCCACCTGGACTTGGTTTTCCTGGAAGGCTAAAGCTCTTTGGGTCCCAAAGAAAGAGGAATCAGATTGCTACTTTGCTCACCTGAGGCCCACAAGTTTTCATTTTGCTGGATTACCACAATGTAAGAAACCCTAAAGATTTGTCTTGCCTGCTGAGGAAATACAAAACCATGGAGATGTAAGGTAAAATGATCCACTTAGGGAAACCCAGAGACAGGAGGGAAGAGGACCACAGTGGATATTTGGAGCAGCCGGCAACCAGTGAAGTAGAAATAAGAGTCAGAAAAGAAATTTTACAACAGTGCACACACTCAAGGGGATCAGCTCCGAATATAAACAAAGCTGCCCAGAGCCCGCTACTGCAATCACTGTGATGGAACAGAGGTCATGGACCAGGCAAAGCAATGATGAGAGCCAGTGGGGTTATCTCGCTGAGTGTTACAGTTGCTCCACAGTGATTAGATAGAAATGGTATAGAATTACCCCAGGAACAGACAGGTAGACGGAATGCAGAGACCAGAAATGCATGTGAGGACTCATCAGATGACAGGATTTCTCTTTAGGGGGAGCTGGCTTATTTAATAGATGGTGCTAGCATAATTGGCTACTCATCTGAAAATAGATCAGCAAAACTCCACTCATACCATGTATAAAAGTAGGTTCCACGTGTACTGAAATGCACAAGTGTAAAAATACCTTAAGAACATTAAAAGACAATGAAAGAACAAGTTAGATGAACACAGTGAGAGATGCCCAGTGGGCCAGCCAGGATCTCTTCCCACACGGAGGAGGTGCATGCATGCAGTTGAGATTTTCATGGCAGATACCAACATCAGCAAGGTCAATAGACAAATGGAAGACTGGAAAAAGTGTCTATTGCACAGCAGATGGAAGACAGTTTAATATCCTTAATACACAGAAAGCTTAGATAAATTGATAGTAAAAAAAAAAATAGAAATACTGGTCCAATTGCCAATATAGATAGGCAATTTCCCAAACTGGAAATGCCTATAAATCTATGAAGGATGTCCAGTAAATATGTGAAGATATACTCATCGCTACTAACATTCAGAGAAACTAAAATGATAATAACAGAGAGATACCTTTTGTCCCCTCACCAGGCTGGCAAAAACTGAGAAGGGGAACAACACGCATTCTAGGGAGAGAGGAGGGGGACCGGGAAGTTCTGCTTACGGCCAATGGGAATGTGGCTGACAACGTCCTTTTCAGGGAAGAAAACTATCAATACCTATTAAAATGTGCCCATAATCTCTGATCTAAAAATATCACTTTTGGGAATCTAGCCTAACAGGAAAAAATTACCAACTTATGAGAATATATATATATAATATGTATAATATATATAACCAAAAATTATATAATTTTCATATAAAAATGACCAAGGTATGAGAAGAATGTTGACTGCATCATTTTTTATATCAAAACACAAAACAACTAAAAAGACTGGTTTGAATGTCTATTACCAAGGAAATAGCTAAATAAACCACAGTGTATATATACCCCTACCATGGAATGTTATGCACCTAATTAAAATGATTAAGTTAGATCTATAGCATCCAATCTGGAGAGATGTCTAGGACGTATTATTGAGAAAAGCAAGTGGTAGATTAATATAAACAATATTACTACATATAAAGACATACATTTATGTAAAACAAGTAACAGAAAGTGCTATATATGAGTGTATTGTTTGTATGATTATAAAGAAAGGGATGGAAGGTTATATGGTTCTCACACAGGGTTCCTTATCCTTATAACTTTTGTGGCCACTTGGCATGTGACAAAGTACACTGTCCACAACAAATCTTATTTATTTATTTATTTATTTATTTATTGGCAGAGGGAAAGGGGTGGAAAAAGAGAGGGAGAGAAATGTATAGTTGTTTATTGCATGCCCCCACTAGGGACCTAGCCTGGAACCCAGGCATGTGCCCGACCAGGAATTGGACCGGTGACCCTTCGGTTCTCAGGTCAGCTCTCAATCCACTGAGCCACGCCAGCCAGGGCTGTTCACAACAAATCTAAATAAATACTAGTACGGAAGAAAAACTGGGCACCATTCTTTAGAAACAGAGGGGTTGGTTGCTGGGCTGGAAGCAGGAGAATTATTGGTGATTTTTGGATATATTTTCATATTTTTTCACTGAATATGGTTAACATGTATTACTTTTGTAATATTTGAAGGGGAATTTAATATAGTTTTTGGTAGAAAGAGCATATGTAAGAAGCTATAGAAGAACAAATGAAGCTGTTAAACTTTTATTCTGATGTATTTGGAAATGCACATTATGATCCCCTATTAACACCACCCTTCCATGTCTGCTGAAGAAGTGATTCTGTAAGAAACAAAATTCTTAACTGGAGAAGGTGACTCCATGGTAAATGGGTAGAGAGCACAGAGGCAAAGTGGACTCAGCACAAGAGAAGGGCTGAATGCACTCAAAGCACCAGCTTGCTAGCTGCATTCACACAGGCATTCAAACGGCAAGTCAGCTCGACTCTCGATGGGTCTTGGATCTGAAGTACTGATCTTACTTTAGCTGGTTGCGCGATACTGCAGGCTGAGGTAAGGCATTCTTCAAATATTTTTCAGTGCTTCTAATTCCAGAGAAAAATTCCACCTGAGTCTGAATGTCACCTGCATGCAGGGTCTAAGTCACCTGCATGGGTGATCATAATGGATAAGCTGATAGACAAGCTAACAAGACTAGATGGGGCCACAAAGAACAGAGATGTCTGCATGCAAAGTAGCCACTCTCCTTTACAACTGCAATTAAGATAACAGGAACCCAGTGTAATTCCAGAAGCATGAGATTGCTGTTGCAGGGACTTAAACCCACACCAACAGGTCGGCAGTATGTGCAGATGTACATGTGCACAGGAAGTGCTGCTAACGGTATTGGTGAATGGCACTGTTGACTCAGCCCAATACACATTTGTGGGGAAAGTGGATGGGACAGCCTGGGCCTTGTGTAACAAAGGGGCTCTGTTAGCCCTGCGTGCTGAGGTGCGTTTCTTAGGCGGAGGCGCTCCACTCAGCTGGTGGGAGTTTCTCCTCTATAACTGTTTCTTGGCTAGCATGTCAGCTTCATAGGTAAGGGTCTCTCCCAGCAAAGGATTGATATAAAGTGGCTTGGAAATATTAAAAGGCACACACCAGAAAACTTAATATCACCAGTGTGTTAAGACTCATTTACTGTCTAAACTGTTCTCAACTGTTCTGTGTAGCCTAGAAACTATTGGCTGCAGCTCACAACTTACAAAAGCTTCAAGTAGACCCCGAGGTCATCTCCTCTTTGGCTACCACCAGGAACACTGTGAACACCAGCCACTGCCCCATCAAAGCCCCAATGCTCCAGACTCGTCCTTGGCCCTTAGGGGATGCAGGCAAGCAAGCTTGGGGTCTGTTAGTTAAGCAGAGGCTCACTCTTAGGGTTTCAATAGAACTCCAGTGAACAAAAAGAACTCCCTTAGGGCACCCCGTCTGTCTCAGGAGAGAGGAGCAAAGAGGGGTACCCTGCAAATCTCCACTCGGTTGGCAGCCTCCTCCATTTCTTCCCTGAGGGCATCGGCTTTGGCACCGGCAGGCTGTAAGCTGCTGGACAAACCTGAAGACTTGGAAGTCTGCTGCCACCTGATGGAAAACAGGAGAAAAATAGGAGAGGTGTGAGACAGGCAGAACCCTGGGCATACTGTGGGTTGCCCAGGCTGAGAAACAGCTGGTTACAAATACTACCCGGTGGACACCACGCTGACCATCAGCTGCTGCTTCAGGCAGGGCACCAGCCCCAGTTTGCCACCATGTTCCCTCCTGTCTTCTGACCACAAAGGCCAAATGACAGCGCCACTGTGCTCTTTGAAGCTCTCAGTCTGTTTCATTCCCTTAAACTCCCTTCCTGTCTGGTGGGCATTTGAGTTTGGAAATGTTCACCTACTTGGGTAAAGCCAAAAACGTAGGCTACGTGACAGGATACATCACTAAGGAAAAAAAAAGTCTGAAGGCAAAACTCTCCATGGATGAAGCCAAGGGTCCTTATGATTAAATTTAGTTTTAAATCCTAGCTCTAGAACTCCTCTCCCTCTCCCTCTCTCAGATCCGACCAATCAGCTTCCAGCATGACCCCTCACCCCTTACCCAGGGTGTCTTGTAATTCTTCCTTGTATAATCTGTAAGCTGCACATCAGTGAGGAATGCATTCCTGCTTTGGGGCGTTAGCTCCCCGTTCTCCTCGGTGTTGCCTTTCATAATAAAATCACCCATCTTTCTCCATTGTAGTTCTTGGTGTTTCATGTTTGGCTCTGCTCACACTGGGTGGATAAACTGTTCTGTAATTCTGGTGAGCACACACGCACACACACACACACATCCCTAGCAACATTTAGATACCTCATTTATATATTTTTAAGCATTTATCTTTGTGCAGGCCTTCTGAGGAAGCTACTCCAGAAACTTTTACGGGAAGTACAAATATTTCTGGTTGCTGTGTCATCATCAGGGACGCACCAGAAGCACGCCCTGGAGGAAGGCTGCAATTGTGCAGACAGGAGCAGCCACAGTGGGGAAGGGCAGTAGGTTCTCGTCCATTCAGCCTATAAACTCAATGGCAGATAGAGGTAGGTCAGCAAGCAAGAAGAATAAGCCAAACGGGTCATTGTATCAAAAACCAGTCCATTCGATCCTTTATTTTCTACTTGTAATAACGACATGAGATATGTAACTATTTCTAGCTTTGATAAAAACGCTAGTGTAATGAGGATGACAAGAGCAGCGGATGCCTGGCTGCAGTCTCAGGAGGGCAGGAGGGACACCTGGGATGGGGACCAGGGTAGGGCTGCTGTGCAGTCTAGGAGGCAGCTGCTTCTCACAAGGCCGATGAAGCTCAGGCAGAGGCTGGATTGTGTGTTTCTGCATGTTTCCATTAACAAGAGAAGCTGGAAATTGTCATGTAAACTCTCCAGATGAAAGGTAGCAACAGATTAAATAGTTTCTTTTAAGTGCTCTGCTGGTCAACAACATACAGAGCAAACCACACAGCTCCTCAGGCTCCATCCAAAGAAGAAAGAAGTGCAGCGTTACTCTGACTTTGAGAGTCAAGAATCTGATCCCTAGGTGTTTTCTCTACACATTTTTTTTTTCCTTTTGGTTATAAGCAGGACAAAAAGTGCAAGACTCTATGATACAAAAAAGAGAAACTAAAGCTATCTTTGCTATTAAAATTAAGTGTTGTCACTTAAAAAATGCACTCATGAGAAAATTACGTACAAAAGGCATTGAGACATTAAAGCTGTATTGATACCCTAAAGACAGACACACTACATATTTTGAGAAAGCAGCTCTGGCCAGGTAGCTCAATTGGTTAGAGCATTGTTCTGACACACTAAGGTTGCAGGTGTGATCCCTGGTCAGGGAACATACAAGAGAAAACCAATCAATGCACAGATAAATGGAACAACAAATAGCAATGTTTCTCTTTCTCTCTCTAAATCAATTAAAAATGTTTCAAAAAAAGAATTCAAGGACAATTAGAAAAGAAATATTTTCCTCAAAGACATTTTAAAATCTAAGCTAACAGATAAAGATTAATAAAAAGTCCTGGGCAATTCTTTCTTATAATGATTTGCCTTACAAAAATGTTATATGTCTTTAATACCTCCCATGTTAAACCATTTAACACAAAGTATTAAAGTGTTTTGGCATATTTTATTTTAGTTTTTTACTTTTAAAATTATATTTTGATTATGCTATTACAGTTGTCCCATTTTTTTCTCTCCCCTTTATTCCCCTCCACCCTGCACTCCCACTCCCACCAGCATTCCCCAACCTTATTTCATGTCCATGGGTCATGCATATAAGCTCTTTGGCTTCTACATTTCCAGTACTATTCTTAACCTACCTCTGTCTATTTTGCACCAGCCATTTTTTAAAAAGATTTTGTTTATTTATTTTTAGAGAGGGAATGGAGGGAGAAAGAGAGAGAGAGAGAGAGAAACATCAATGTGCGGTTGCTGGGGGCCGTGGCCTGCAACCCAGACATGTGCCCTGACTGGGAATCGAACCTGCGACACTTTGGTTCGAAGCCCGTGCTCAATCCACTGAGCTATACCAGACAGGGCTTGCACCAGCCATTTATGCTTCTTATTCCCTGCACCTCTTCCCCTATTCTCCTCCTGCCCCCTCCCCACTGATAACTTTCCATGTGATCTCCACGTGATCTCCAATCTTTTCCTGTTCTAATTGTTTGCTTAGTTTCTTTTTGCATTTTTTTTTAGGTTCAGTTGTTGATAGCTGTGAGTTTGTTGTCATTTTATTTGTATTTTTATCTTCTTTTTCTTAGATAAGTTCCTTTAACATTTCATATAATAAGGGCTTGGTGATGATGAACTCCTTTCACTTGACCTTATCTGGGAAGCAGTTTACCTGCCCTTCCATTCTAAATGATAGCTTTGCTGGATAGAGTAATCGTGGTTGTAGGTCCTTGCCTTTCATGACTTTGAATACTTCTTTCCAGCCCCTTCTGGCCTGTAAGGTTTCTTTGAAGAACTCAGTTGATAGTCTTCTGGGAACTCCTTTGTAGGTAACTGTCTCCTTTTCTCTTGCTGCTTTTAAGATTCTCTCCTTATCTTTAATCTTGGGTAATGTAATTATGATGTGTCTTGGTGTGTGCTTCCTTGGGTCCAACTTGTTTGGGATTCTCTGAGCTTCCTGGACTTCCTGGAAGTCTCTTTCCTTTGCCAGACTGGAGAAGTTCTCTTTCATTATGTTTTCAAATAAGTTTTCCATTTCTTGTTCTTCCTCTTCTCCTTCTAGCACCCCTATGATTCAGATGTTGGAATGTTTAAGGTTGTCCCAGAGGTTCCTAAGCCTGTCCTTATTTTTTTGAATTCTTGTTTCTTCCTTCTGTTCTGGTTGAATGTTTCTTTCTTCCTTCTGGTCCAAATTGTTGATTTGAGACCTGGTTTCCTTCCTGTCACTGTTGGTTTCCTGTACATTTTCTTTTATTTCACTTTGCATAGCCTTTACTTTTTCCTCTATTTTGAGACATACTCAGTCATTTCTGTGAGCAACCTGATTACCAGTGTTTTGAATTCTGCATCTGATTGGCTATCTCTTCATCGCTTAGTTCTATTTTTTTCTGGAGCTTTGATCTGTTCTTTCTTTTGGGCCATATTTTTTTGCCTTGGTGCACCTATTAGGTAGTAAGGGGAAGAGCCTTGGGTATTCTTCAGGAGAGGGCAAACACCTCCATCACTGCATTGTGGCTCTGTATATGGAGAAGGGGTCAGAGGGAACAATGCCACTTGCTCAGCTCTCTGCTGGGTCTCAGTCACTTCTTCTACTACCCACAAGCAAATTGGGCCCTTCTGGTGCTGATTCCCAGGTGAGTGGGTTTGTGTAAGTTCTAGGACCCTGTGTATCTCTCCAACAAACTCTCCTGTGAGACTAGGAGTTTCTATTGCTGCTGCAACCCCCACAGGTTTTTATAGCCAGAGGTTTTTGAGGTTTTATTTCCCCATGCTAGAACCCTGGGTTGTACAGTCTGTCTCACTCCCCATTTGTTCCTCCCAGTTTATCTGCACAAAAATGTGGGACCACCAGGTCCTCCAGCCACCACCTTGCTGTGAGTCCTCTCTACCCAAGCTGCCTATCTCTGCCCCTCCCACTGGTCAGGATGAATGTTTCTTCTTTAACTCCTTGGTAGTTGGACTTCTATACTGTTCAATTTTCTGGCAGTTCTGGTTATTTTTTGTTTTTAAAGTTGTTATTTTCCTTCTTTTTGTTGTGCGAGGAGGCAAAGTGTATCTACCTACGCCTCCATCTTGGCCAGTAGTCTTTATTTGTCTAATAAACTATGAGATGCCGTGGCTGTAATTTAAATCTCAGATAATAAATACACCTTCATGACAGATTGTGTGATCAGGCTACAGCTGCCATCTGGCAACCTGAAGGAAAAAACAATTAATCTATATATGAGTGTAAAAAAAATAAGTCAAGTGAGTATAAACACTGATTTGATTTTTATGGTTTTATAGATTTGGATTGGATTTTTAAAAAAATTGAATTATATTTAATACATGTATATAAAGTGAAGACATTTTCTAAACTTATCTCTTTCTTTTTTTGTTTATCCTCTCCCTGCCAATTCTATCCTTTAGTGGATAACATGGTAGTTAAAAATCATACAACTTTCCCCTCCCTTCACAGGGAATTTTATTTGTAATATATAAGTAATCTATTTTGATACTATAAAATTATAAGATATTATAAGATGTCCCAAAATGGTCTCTTTGTGGTAATAGCATAACAAAATATCAGAGGAAGCTTGGAAAAATTGGTCTAGGCAACATCTGCTAGGAAAAGGACGTTAATCATGAACTTCAAGGTCTGGTGGCCTTTTCAGTCAGTTGTTCTACAAATAAACTCAAGAGCTGTCCTGCTCTGTTCAGGGAAGAAACAGGGATTCTGAAGCAAGAGAAGAAACAGGGATTCTTATCCAATAAGAGTCTGGGCTTTAACATTTGAAGAGTAGAAAGGTCACTTGTTCCCACTGAAATAGCTGTTGTGACAGCCTCATTCTCTGGGAGGGATGCTGTCACTACATGAGCTGGGGGAGAGGAAGGCAGAATACAAGCTTTGATGGAGGCTGAGGAGAGAAAACAGTCAGAAATAAGGGGAAGACATGTCAAGGGTGAGGAGAAGAGGGAAAAAGGTAGATGCAAGATAAGTTCAGGGCAACAAGAAGTGCAGAAGAATTTTTGGGAGGCAAACAGGAACATTTCTTTAGTAGGACATTCATTGTCCCATCTATCCAGACTGCTTCCCCCTGTCACAGCATCCCCTGACTTTTAAGGCTCTGCCCCTCTACTGCTCTCAGGGGCTGGCCAAAGGCTCTGCAGTCTGCAAGGCTCCAGCCTGTGGTCTGGGGGAGGGCACCAGAGGCCAGCCAGGCCCATGCCCCTCTTCATCACCTTGCCAATTGTGAGGCCAAGGAAGTAGCTCATCACCAACAATCAGGCAAGTGAAGCCCCTCCTCTACACATTTCCAACTGAAACAAAAGAGAGAGAGCTCATGCTGTAGAGACCTGAGCCTAAGGGTCATCCAGTCAGTATGCAGACAATGGACCTAAGGAAAGGATGCCTGTGTGCAGAAAGAAGCAGGAGTGGGGGATCTTCCTGGTGGCAAAGAGGCCCTGCCGCCAGGCTCAGGATACTTAGAATGGCCACAGCCCTGAAATTAACTCCAGGAGCTGCCCACCGTGCTCCCCCAAACTCTCCATTTACCTGTGTTAGTCCACTTGCCTCCAAAGAATGTAGGTGGCTTAGTCTGCTGGGACTGCCATAACAAAACACCACAGGCTGGGGGCATAAACAACTCATAGTTCTGGAGGCTACCAGTCCAAGATCAAGGTCGCAGCAGGGTTTGGATTCTGGCGAAGGCTCTCTGCCTGGCCCGCAGCGGTCTTCCCTCTGACCCTGTCTTCACAGGGCTTTGCTCTGAGTGCTCGCAGAGAGAAGCAGAGGGCGCTGTCTCTTCCCTCTCTCTTCCTTTTCTTCTAAGGCCACCTTTTCCTATAGGACCTCATTTAACCTTAATTACTGCCTAAAGGCCCTATCTCCAAATATAGTCATGTTGGCAGTTAGGGTTTAATGTAAGAATTTTTGGTGGGGAAGAAACACAATTTAATCCCCAGCAGTAGGACCCAGAGGCAGGTATGCAGCAGAAACATAAAGTGTCCTGGACCCAGGGGGTTCACCTTGAGATATATGTCCCTGAAAAAGTGAGGCAACTTTGGGAGCAACTGGGGCTCCTTCCTTAACCATTGTCAAACCAAACCAACAGCAGAAAAGACATTTGTGTATCATTCACATTCACTTCATTTCAATGCAATTCACTATTTTTGAGTCTGTATAAAGCTTCCTTGAGTTTACCTCCACTCTTCTCATGTATAATCTTTTATTCATCTTCTAAGCTTCAGTATTATCTGAGGATATTAAGGTTTATGTAATTGTCTTTTGAAGCAGAGAGGTCAGGTTTACTTGAATAGTGGGAAATGTATCCACTAGATTTTGCCCTAAATAAAACATTGGATAAATTTGTTGGTTTTGGCAGTATCCCCAGAGCTGTGCTAGATTTCAAAGATCCAGTCACAGGACTATTGATCAAGATGTATGGATAATACACAAAAAGATCCTGTCTTTCTTCAAAGGGAGAGCATGTTTCTCCCTATTTCAGAGCATGTCTCTCCCTAGAATACACTGTTTAGTGTGGATAGTGTAGTTCATGAAAGACAGAACAGGACTAAAGAAAGCTTTGGTATCCAGAAGGAGGATGGCACAGGAATAGAATCTACCACATGCAAAGTTGCTAAGTGGGGAAGTTGTGTGGGGTAGAAGTGGGGGCAGTGGGAACCCAGCCTTTCCAAAAGAGTGGCTGGTGATCCCTGCTACTCAAGAGCACTGCATTGGCCTCACTCACACTGCTGTATGTCAGGATGCAGGCCCCATGCTGCCTACGAGTAGGGGGCTGGGCGAAAGGGCAGGAGGCTGGGTGAGCTGGTTGCTGCTTGTGGCTTTCAGTGAGGTCCTACAAGATGTATTAAGTCAACTAGCAATGGTTCTAGTCTGGGACTGAAGTGGGAAGAAAGAGGACCTCTTGTTAAGAGAGCCCCTCTCATTCTGAAGCCTACAAATTGAACTGATGAAAATCCATAATTGAGGCCTGGGGTTGGATCCCCACCACAGTTACTGAAGCAGAGACCCAAAGGGAAGGTAACTAAGTTTTCGAAGGGCTGAACTGCCAGTCAGCTCCCTCCAAAACAATCCTTCACTCCCAATCTCACAACTGCACAAGAGGGCTGTGAATAACCACCAATATGATAAAGGAGACAAATCAGGTTTACCTGAGAATCATCTAAAAGGATGTGGGGTATCTTTTTTTGGTGTGAAACAAAAAAGAATTGTAGGTCTGAATTGAAATTTGGAGAGGGGAGGTAGAGATTCCCTTACCACATTTTAATATACAAGAGAGGATGAGCTAAAAATATGGAAAAGTTGTTCAGTCATGGATTAAAGTCCCTAAGGACACTTCTCTGAGGTTCAGCCTCCACGATGCACTTGCTGTCACCATGGGCAACACAGCACAAGACTGGACAGCCCATGGCTGTCACCAGGAGAAACTCTCTTTCTCACCAGAGGACCAACGGCAATGGTGATGATGAACTTTGAAGCTAGCAGCCACCCTTCTGACCCAAGGCTCTGTGCTGGGCATTGGGGTCTTCCTCGTCAAAGCAAAGATGAGACCTCAGGGCTAAAAACCCAGGTCCCCACAGAAGGAAATCACTCAGCTAACCCAGGAGCATGGTGTCCACTACCCTCCGAATACCAGGACAGCCAGCACTTCTTCAGTCATCTTACATGCCTCCCAAAATATGGGACTTAAACCCCGTCCCATATTAGGTTACAGGACAGGTGTTATGGCAGGCAGTTTTAAGTGGCACAAGAACACAGCAGTAAGTAACCCTAAGACAATACTGCCATGCAATCTGCTCTCCATTCTCCCAAGTCCACTGAAGAGAGACCCTCAGATCTGGGTCAGAAGCACTACAGAAACTTTCCAACCCCTCCTCTTCCTTTGTAACAAAAGGGACAAGCTTCTGGAACATAGCTTTCTGTAGGCAAGAGGATCTAAAGTCTAGTAGCACTGGCTTTGCTTCATCCTGTTCACTTTCATGGTTACTTGGTATTTCTGGCAACAGACACTCCTGTTCCATTTACGATGGTGCTGCAATATTTCTTTGATTCATTTTGAAAAAGGAAATCAATTTTTTAAAGATGTGTAAGCACAAGTGGCAAAAATCATTCAAGTGGACTGATGTCAGGGAAACATCAAGTTAACTAAAGAAACTTTTGTTTTCCTGCAGATCAAACCTATGTTATTTCTGGTTTGGAGGGACTGCCTAATACTTTTTATTGGCCCAGAGGCAGAATTCCAGTGTCCCACCTAGTTACATAGCAGCTTCCTTGCACAAAGCACTTGGGAAGTGCTGTGATAAACATGATCTCATCTGACATACAAGACGGCCTCCCTGGGAAATCACAAATGTTGTTACTACCTGTCTACAGGTGTGCAAGCCAGTCTGGGAGGTTAAATGACTTGGCCAATGTAATGGGTCTAGAAAACAGGTGACCTTGATCTTGGTACTTCACTTCTGACTCCTAGTTCTCAACTCTGTCCTACATCTCTGAGCCCAAGTACATTGTTTTTGTTTCTTTTTCTCAAGAAAATTAAAACAAGATGCAGAGATTATTAAAATTGACCCACAACAGGCCTAAAGTAGAGCCCAACAGTTAAATCCATGTTAATATTCATGACCCTGCATTCTTTCCATTGCGGACTAGGCAAACACACATACACCATTATAAACAATGAAGAGGCACATATGTGCAGCCCTGGTGCACACCGGCCATAGTAAAAGCCATCTCAAAGCCTCTGGCACTCCCCGGCTGTGACAGGAGTTTCCTGGCGGACTCTAGGAGACAGGTGCAGAGAGTCGCCCTGGTGGAACTTCACTTTTCTTATAGTGGTCTCAGGTGTTCAGAGAATGGCTACAGAATCGACATACCTGCACTGCCAGCTTCAGGAAAAGGCAGACTGGTCCCCAGAATCTGAAACTCCCCCCTCACTACAGACAGGACACAGCATCCATCCTACTACTGTGGTCTCTGATCCCGCTACCCTCCCCTTTCCTTCTACCCCAGCCACGCTGACCCTTGTTCAGTGTCCTGAACGCATTGTTCTAGTTCCACCTGAGGGCCTGTGCCTTTGCTGTTCCCAGTGAGTCATCTCATCCCTGCCTAATGCTGTTGCCCCTTCCCCAACATCCCCTCCCAGGATTATCCTGTGCTATGTTTACATGGCTCACGGCTGCCTGAAATTGGCTGGTGTGCATGCTCACTTGTCTAGTGTCCACTTCTCAACCAGACCAGAGGCTCCATGAGAGTGGGGCACCCATATCTCTGCCCCCTGCTCTTATCTCCAGTGCCTGACATGCAGGGGTGTTAAGAAAAACTTGGTGAATAAAAACATACACACAGCCATAAACGAGCTCCTACCCTCACCCCAAACAGGACCACTATTCCTTAGAAGAAGCAGAAATGAAAGTGAATATGCCCTATGCTACCTTGTTCGTGAAGAATCCATGTCCAGCACCAACTTTGCTAAATGTTTCCTCTGTTTTTGAATATTTGGGATTTCCACCTGTAGTGACAGATGAAAGACACAGTCAAATTGAAGCTCAAGATAAATTCTCCAAGAACTACTGACAGCCACACAACAATCCTTATTTGAATTTTTAATTCAAATTCTTGAAGCCTTTTCCTGAGCTAAACCCTGCACTTTCTTCACTGGACATCACCAGGAACCATCTTGGAGGTTTGCACCCCCAGCTCATGAGGCTTAGTCTCACTCCTGCTGCTGCCTCAGCCGCCAGAGCCAGGGCATCAGTCCTACTCCTCTCTACTGGCACAAGGGCCCACGGCGGGGAGGAAGCAGATCTGACACACAGACCTAATTCAAAACAGACAGCAGAAGAATGACAAGAACAGGTCTCAGGAGGACTGAGATGCTGTGGGCAATGCAATTAGGATGTGTTTTTATAGAAATAAGATTTTTTTTCCCAAAGTAAATAATAAATACACATTACCATGGCTTTTCTCAGCTCTGAGAAGTTCTTCCACAGGGGTTGTATGTGGATGCTCTTTTTATCTTTTTATTTCTAAAAATGGCTTAACTGAACATTCCAAGGGAGGGTTTTTGGTTCCAAGCCCAGCAAAACTGGGGCAGGATGTGAGAATTTAAAAAGGAAAATTGACCATAATTAAACCAGTCATCTCAGGCTGCGGCTTTTATAGAAGGAAAAATGTGAGGAAGATCCAGTGTGCTGTGAGTGCTTTCAATTCACTCCTTCAGGCAGGTGAGTAATGGTGAGTGCAGAGACTTCCAATGGGGAGGAGAAGGTTAGGCATCTGGGGTAGTCCCACATCATCAAAGAGCCCAGAGGCAAAGCTGGGGAGTCACAGTGGCATCTTGGTCATACAGGAAACCCCAGCACACACGTCACAACTGTCTGTGGGATCTGCTTGGGGTTAGTTGGCATGCCAGACCATCTTTATGAGGAACAGAGGGTTTCTCCTGAATGTTCTAGGCTGGGCATGACCGTAACAGGATGCCGTCTGGGAGTCTAGAGCTGGTCCATATCAAAGACTCATATCTAAGGTTTTCTCCTTGAGTGCTTTTAGGCACTAAGGTAGTTATTTACCCATGCATTCTGCCCCAGAAACAGCGGCAGGGTAGCTAGGGCTGCTGGGAGTGGTCCAGAAAGGAAACCAGACATGGTCCAGGGTATGCTGTCCAACATGGTAGCCTCAAGCCATAGGTGGCTATACCACTTAAATTCAAATGAACAAAAATCATATAAAAATGAGTTCCTCAGTCACATTACACACATTCCAGGAGCTCAAAAGCCATAGGTGGCTGGTGGTTACCACACTGTACAGCTGTGGAACTGTGTTGAAGGGGAACTATGCAGATGTGGAGCTGTGGAACTATGAAAATGTGAAGCTGTGCAGATGTAGAGCTGTGTAGATGTGAAGCTATGTAGCTATGGAACTGTGCAGCTGTGGAACTGTGTAGATGTGCAGCTGTGGAACTGTACAGACATGGAACTGTGCAGCTGTGGAACTGTGTAGATATAAAGCTATGTAGCTGTGGAACTGTGCAGACATGGAACAGTGCAGCTGTGGAACTGTGCAGCTGTGGAAGTGTGCAGATGTAGAGCTGTGTGGATGTGAAGCTATGTAGCTGTGGAACTATGCAGATGAGGAACCGTGTAGAGGTGCAGATGGGGAACTGTGCAGCTGTGGAACTGTGCAGATGTGAAACCTTTCCATAGTTGCAGGCAGTTCTGTGGGACAGCACCAGCTAGGTTTTCTATGAGCAATGAAAGGCAACTGGGAAGAGTTCCCATGTTCAGGGCAAATAAAATTCCTCCACTATTTCCTTTCTTACTTGTTTGGAGCTAGCAAAGTTGACACATAAACATTAAGGTTTCTTTTTAATAAAAGAGTTTTGTTAGTGTTCTTTAAAGTCCAAGAGAAGGGACCCATATAAACCAATGGCAAGAGACCTTTCAGAATCTCTGGGATACAGGTCCCCAGTCTCCTGGAAGGAGGGGTTGCTGTTCGTTTCACTGCGGACTTGAGATGGGTGGCAGGCTGGGGTGGTGGCAGTGGCGACCCTGGTGGAGAGGGGGGAGATGCTGCCAGCTGTGACTCTGCCCTCTGGAATGCCAACAGAGAGGAAAGTGGGTAGGAGGGGGACAGCAAACACTGAAAGGGCTACCCTGTCGGGCAATCCTGCAATCCTGACCATGCGGTTGCATCATGGCCCAGATGAGAAGCAGTGTCACAGAGCGGGGGGAGGGAGAGCCACAGTAACCAGAGTGGAGTGGAGCGACTGCAGGGCCCACTGCTTGGCCCTTCCCTGCCCACTCAGGCCTGGTCTCATCCACTGCTTACCTCAGCCAGCAAAAATAGGGGCTCGATCACATCTCTCTCCACTTGCAATTCAAAGTGGATCAGCTCCTGTGCCAGCTTGTCCTCTGCCTCTCCACAGAGTTTCAGCATCTTCCTGCGACAGAGGGGAAAAATCCACACTGAATACCCTGGAGGGCACGGTGCCACTGTGTCACACTGCCTTACCTCCCGGCCAGGTACATTGTCATGAGCCGGTGCTAATAAACTGTCGAGTGCCACAGTGCCCTATGGACCAACCTGCTCCATCCATTTTCATTTCCGAAGTTATCAGTTTTTTAAATGATGCTGAGTACCTACAGTGTGCATGGGGTAAAGGGGACATGGAGGGAAACATGGCAACAATGTGGGGAGAAGAGACTTACACACGTGGAATCCCCAGACGCTTCTGTTTCCCCTGAGGGCCCTGGAGAAATTGGCTAAAATCGGTGCTCGGATAAACCAACACCTTCAAAAACACACCAAAAACTTGGTCTTTTTCCAACAGGCTCAAATAGAAAAAAAAAAACCCACAAACCTCTCCTAAGCCATAAAAACAGGATGAACAGACAATTATCCAATGTAAAGTTGGAATGAAAAAACCATTCCAAAGTGTATTAATAAGGACCAAATAAAAAAAGAGCTGAATGAGTAGAAAGTGATACCATATTCCTAGGTGACAAAATATATTTCAAAGGTGTTACTTTCCCCTGAACGGCATCCAGGCAGCCCTCCCTTTTCATGGTGCCACATTAACTGAAACTCACATAAAAAGTTTTTACAAATCAATAAAGGGTGAGAAGAGGCCGTTGCTATTCTGAAGTCAGTATGTACTTCTCCTGGCCATGCTGTCCACTTCCTACTAAATGTGTGTGCTCACACAGAATACATAATGTTGCATCACTTAGTTTAAAAAGTCTACATAATGGTTTCACACCGAATCTATCCCTCTATGACTTGCTTTTTAAGTTCATCATTATCTTCGGGGCATATCCATCCTGACACACAGAATTAGACAGTTTTGCCATCCAGAATTCCATCCATGAGTACACCACCATTTACGAGCCTTCCCCCGGTCGTGACAGCAACGATCTGGGGCTGGAACATGCAGGCCCACAGCACATGTGCTTGTACAGTCTCCTGTCACATGTGTGAGTTTTTCAATGCAAAGGAGAGAAGGCGTGCATACCTGTAACCTTACTGGAGACTGCCAAACTGCGTTCGAAACTGGACTTCACCCTCACTGGTGCAAACAGGAGTTCCCACTGCTCTGCCCTCCTGCCCACCCCAGGTACTGGTGGAAATGTTCATTTCTGCCAAACTAGTGTATACAAAATATGATCTCATCCAGGCTTTAATTTGCATTCCTTGACTCCTGGTGAGACTGAGTATCTTTTTTATGTTTTGGGCCATTCAGGATCCCTCTTCCATGAAGTGACTATTCATATTCTTTGGCTATTTTTGTATTGGGATTAGTTATTTGAATTTATTTGTAGGAGTTCTTCACATACTTACAGATATACGTATGTGGGTGCAGAGGGGATTCAAATTCTTTTTCATATCTGCTATAAATGTCAACTCCCAGGCTGTGAGTTTATCTTTGTAGATTTTTAATGGTGTTTTTAATCTGACTTTTCTGTTACTTGCCTCCATATTTCTAATGTTACTTCTTACATTTTTTCCTAATTGTAAGCATTAATTATTAACTGTCAACTATGGAAAATGAGGATTTAGCTATCTTTACATTTCCTCTCCCACCATTAATTCACATCAGCAGATGTTTAGAATTTACACATTTTGATAAGATATGCTATTTGGAGTAAGGCTGGGTAGTGTACTATGATTAGCGGTCTTTCCTACACATTTATTTGGTCTCTCTGGAGTTAATGATTGCCTTGTTTTCATGTTTGTTCAGTTTTCCATGGGCCCAACTATGGAACTCAAAATCCTCAGCCACTTTTCTAACTTGTCTTAAGACCCTGAACTACATTGATGTGAATAAATTTCACCTTCTTGAATCAGCCTCTCCCACACCTGCGTTGTCAATCTAGCTTGAGTCTGCCTTCTATCCCTGGGCACAGCTGTCTTCCTGCAGCCTTCCCTCACCACTCCCTGGCCTGTTCTCTCTGCCCTGTGCTGAATGTCTTGTTTCCTACCGTCTCTGTCTCCCTTTCCTGGTTACTCCCTCATCATAGAGCACATCTGGCTTCAGCTGCCTGACACATTGGGTGGGGTGTCTGTTTCTGAAAACATACATGTCACACCGTTGCCCTGTACCCTTACAATGCTCAGGGTAGTGAGTTCTGTTCAGATCACCTATCCCTCCAAAAAGTTGACGGCATTGCCCAGTAATCATGTAGCCTCCAATGTTGCTTTTGGCAAGTCTGGAAGCATATGGATTTTTAATCCTCTTATGTGACAATTTTCTTCTCTAGAAGATTGTAGAATCTTTGATTTGTCACTAGTACACACTACTGGTAAGCCCTGGCATAGGTTTAATTTTTTTTCTACTGTGTTAGCTCAGTGGGCCCTTACATATAGAAATAACATGTCTTTCACATCTGGAACACTTTCAGATATTATTATTATTATTATTATTACTTCTACTACTACTACTATTATTATTATTACTATTACTACTATTATTATTTCTCTGCTTCCCAGTCCCTGTGGTCATCTTCTTGCTCTCTTTTCCAGATTCTTCTTTACTTTCCAAATCTACTGAGAATGTAATTTTTTTTTATTTCTATCAGCTTGCTTTTGATCTCTCATTATAGAAATAGTTTTATTAACATCCTATTTTAATTTAATAAATGCATTATTTTTTCTTCTCACTTGAAAACATAAGTGATAGTTTTCCTGAAATCTTCTCCTCCCCCATGTAATATCTATTTCTTCCTGATTTTACTTCTGTATTATTTTCCCAGTTGTCTTGGTATCTAGGTTTCAGATGTCTGGTGATCTCTGGTGCCTGTCTATATTTAAGGGTGGAGCCTAAGCAGCTTGGAAAATGTGAGTGGAGCTCATCAGCTGTGAGCTCATCTGCAGATGATCTAGCTGGGCCATTCATTGGAGTATCACCTCCTTCAATGTCTTTGGGTCTTTAGCTCATTCCTGTTAGGCTAGGGGCTGCATGGGTTGGGGAGACAGATGAAGAGTCTGAGCACCCAGTTGTATTAGATCACTTAGTCTCTTCTTTAATAACTGGTCCCCTTACGTGGCGTCCCCAGAATAAAGAAGTTATTTTACCCTCCACTCCCTAAAGAATAAAGCTCCAGAGTTCAGCTGGAATTGAGGGTAACAGGATGAGTCTCCCAGTGGTGAGGCAGGTTCTAGGTTTGAGCAATCCAAGTGGTACCTGACTAGCTTTCAACCTATACTCATAACTTCAATCACTTCCCTGCCCCCAAAGACCCACTATTGCAGAGATGCCTGTTGCCACTAATCCTGAGCCTTGTAAGCATTTCAAGGAGTAAATGGTATTGGCTTTGGGGATTCAGGTTTGGGAACTTGCTAAGGCAGTTCCCAATCAATCATATGTTTTATTGCTCACAAAATTTTGTTGCTGTTGTCTTTTCTCTTGTTTTTCCTGTATTTTTGGGTTTATGTCTTTTAAGAAAACAATCTCTTTGTTGTAGTGAATTTGGAAGGAACCAAAACTGGATATGTGTGTTCAGCCTGTCATCTTTACCTGGGTATCCTCCATCCCTTTACTCTCAACCTTGCTGTGTCACAATTTAGGTGTGACTCTCAGAAATAGCACAGAATGATTACATGCTTATCCACCTGAGATTCTCTACATTATTAACAGCTGAGTTTATTCCATTTACATGTCTAATGATTACAGATACATGCAATAATTACTATTACCTTCATTTTCTGTTTTCTATTTATTATGCTTTTCTTTGCTTAGTTTTTTTTCTTTTAACCCCTTCTAGGTTTTTTTTTTCCTATTTTATTTCCCTTTTTATCCTTTTACTAGTTTTGAAGTTTTCTATTCCATATCTATTCTTTTTTGTGGTTGCTTTTAGTCTTCTAATATGTACATTTACTTTAAATGCAATCTTTATCCACTTTTCAAACAATATAGAACATGAAATACTAATTTCCTTTCCAATGTTTCATGTTTTTATTTTCTAGTGTTTTAGTATCACTTTGCTTTACACTCCCACCAAAGTAATCATTATATTGCTACTGTGAACTTAATGCTTATTTATATTTATTTACATTGAAGGGTAGAAGAATACACCACCCCAAAACATGCCACAATGGCATAAGGATTATTTTGAGCTGAAGGCAACTGAGAAGAAGCAGATACAGCATAAGCTTTCTGTGCTGTCTCTTCTCCACTTGCTTAAAATAGAACATAAATCTGTAAAACTGTGCTTCTTCCCCTTTCTACCAGGAACGACAAAATTAACTTCCAGAGATAACTCTAGACTCTTATCAGCCTAGAGAAGGCACCAAAGAAATAACAAACTTTACTCATGACCTCTTATCTTCCATTAGTTTCGCTATATGTTTGCCCTCCCACAGTTGGTCGCGCTCGAAACCCAGGTGTCTTTTCCTGTGTCTTGCCACTTCTCTAAAAATTATTGTTTTTTGTTAAGAAGCTATATAAATCAAAGTTCTAGCCACCCCTTTGAGTTACTAATGACTGAGTTCTCCTATGCACACACACTGAACATGGAAGTACATTTGCATGCTTTTCTTTTGTTAATTTGTCCTTTGCCAATTTGATTTGCAGAGCCACAAAAAGGAACCCAACATGGCTAGAGAAAAAAAGAATTTTTTTTCATTTCTATACCACATTCACTATTTTTTAAAAATGCTACCTTGTTATTTGCATTTCATTTTTCTGGACATAATTTATTTCACATAAACCTAAATAGCTTTTCAGTGAGGATATATGAGTAGTAAATTCTCTAAATTTTTGCCTGAAAATATCATTCTTATCCCTTTATTCTTTTTTTTTAATTTTATTTATTTATTTTGAGAGAGGGAAGGGAGGGAGAGAGAGAGAGAGAGAGAGAGAGAGAGAGAGAGAGAGAGAAACATCAATGTGCAGTTGCTGGGGGTTATGGCCTACAACCCAGGCATGTACCCTGGCTGGGAATCGAACCTGCAACACTTTGGTTCACAGCCCGCGCTCAATCCACTGAGCTACACCGGCCAGGGCTTATCCCTTTATTCTTTAATAATAATTTAGTTTATCATAGAATCCTGTATTCTTACATTTTTGCTCAACACTTGAATATTTTCCTCCATTATTTCCTGGCATTTATTTTGGCTGATGAATAAATAGTATGTTATTGCTCTAATGGCTCTTTTATACATAATTACCATTTTATCTGTTTACATTTTTTTCTTTTTGATAAATAATTCCCAGTTTTACTACAATGCATCCATGAGTAGATTTCCTTGTGTGGATCTTAATGAGGATTTTTTGTGCTTCTTAAATTTAAAGGCTGTATCTTTCTTCAAGTCTAAAATCTACAAAAGAAAAATTCAACCACAAACTTTCCTTCTCCATATTATATTCTTCAGGCACTACTAGACATAGTTTTGTATTCTACCAACCATGCCTCTCCATTTAACAATGCCTGTATCGTTATCTCTTGTACTTCATTCTGTTTTTTCTGAGTGGCTACTTCAGATTTGTTTTGAAGTTCACCAATTCTCTATTTAAGTGCAATTTTCAGTTTACCTCAATTAAGTTTTTAAGTTGTAGTAAGCATAATTTGAGTTTTAAGAAGTTCTTTTGTTTTTTTCTTTGATTCTGCCCAATCTTTCTTTTTCATGTTGTTTTATTCTTTCATCAAGGATTATTTTGTCCTCACTTAAATTTTACATGAGGCATAACTGACATACAGCAGCATTACATTACTTTCAGGTGTACAGCACAATGATTCAGTATTTGATACATTGCAAAGTGATCACCACAACAGTTAACATTTGTCACCATACCTAGTTACAAAATTTTTTTCTTAAAAATATGGAATGCTTCACAAATTCATCCTTGCACAGTGGCTGTGTTAATATTCTCTGTATCGTTGCAATGTTAGAATATGTGCTGCCAAAGAAAACGACATCTCTAATTTTTAAATTTCATTTTAAACGTAATTATTTTACATTTTCTTTCATACTGTTCTATTATTTTTAGTTCTGAGGATACTGATTCTCTTATTCATTATGCATGAGGATTCTCTCTCATGTCAATTCTATTTTTAGTTTGTTTTTATTATGAGTTCAAAACCAACAAGGGTTGTTCTTCTGGGAATCCTGTAAGTTCTGACATCTGACATCGGAAGGATTCATATTTGCTTTTACTGGGGCCCTGGGGATTTCAATTGTCCTTCAACAATTTTATGTTTATTTTTCCCCTTGGGAGCTGCCTCGCTACATAGAGACACTAAACATGACTTTGGGGCCTGGGGATTTTGGTTTCTCACTGGCAACCTTTCCTCCCCCCACAAAGTCTGTGGCCAGACTAAAAGAGCCCACAGTGCTTCGCCAAGCAGTTCTGGTTCCCTTTTTATGGGTGGGGACTTACACAGATTTGTCAAACCCACACATGGTGTCACCTTACCCTAGAAGTGTGTCATCTCCCAGGATAGCTGACCCCTCCATCAAACACTGAGCCAATGTTGTTAAAGGCAATTTTTTCTGAAAAGGAAAGAAAGGTTGTCATGAAAACTACTTCAATAGTCATCTGCTTACTCTAAAACAGCAGAATGTTAATACTCTGCTATATACTATATTAGCTAAGAAACAAAATGACTTTAAAATATGTTTAAAACCTAAATATAGGATTTAACAATGGGTTAGATTCAGAGATGTTAAAATTCAGAAAATTAGAACTGAATTAAATCACCAATTTAGAAAATAAGCCTAAAGTTTACATGCTGCATTTGAACATCAAGTGGGATAACAGCAAGAAAAAAAATTCAAAATTATAGTAAAAAGATTTAAGCAATGATTTAATTTCCAAAAACCAATCTCTTACCAGAAAAGTATATTAGCCCCATTTTATAAATGAGGCAGATTATGGTCAAGACAGAGAAAAAAGTTTCATATTAAATTACAATACAAAGAATGTAAGCTTTAAGATAAAGACACACTCCAAATAAGATAACAGAATAGACAACAAGCACATGAAAAGATTAACATCATTAGTCTGTAGGGAAATTCAAATCAAAGCTACAGTGAGATACCACCTCACACTAGGATGACTATAAAAGTAATGACCTCATAAATATATATATATGTGTGCACGGGTGCGCACGTGTGTGTGTGTGTGTATTATTCTCACTTGAGAACATGCTTATTGATTTTAGAGAGAGGACACGAGGGGAAGAGAGAGAGAGAAACATCAATGTGTGAGACAAACAACAACTGGTGGTCTCTCATATGTGCCCCAACCGGGGACCAGACCCACAAGCATGTGCCCTGACAGGGAATCAAACCTAAGACCTTTTGGTTTATGAGACAATGCTCCAACCAAGCCACACTGGCCAGGGCAATAGTATATACATTTAAAAATAAGGAAATAAGTACTGGGGGACATTCCAGTGGAGACACTGGAAACTTCACGCATTGCTGGTGGAAATGCACAAACGTGCAGCATGGTGGGAAAGTCTGGCAGTATTTCAATAAGGTAAACAATTGTCATATGGCCCGGCAATTCTGCCCTTGGGTAGACACTCAAAATAACTGAAAACAAATGATGAGACAAAAACACGTGCATGGATGTGAATAGCAGCACTATTCACAATAATGAGAAGGTGGAAACAGCTTGACTATCACAAATGAATAGATAAACAAATGTAGTCTATCCACATAATGGAATATTATTCAGCCATCAAAAGGAATGGGGTCTCAACACATGCTACATGGATGAACTTTGAAAACATCTCACTAAGTAAGCCAGACACAAAAGAGCACATATTGTACAATTCTATTTATGTAAAATGTCCAGCAAAAGCATAGAGACAGAAAGTAGATTAGTGATTGCCTGAGGCTGGGGAGAAGGGACACAGGAAATGATTACTTGGTGAGCATGGAGTCTCCTTCTGGGGTGATGAGAATGTACTGGAATTAGATGGTAGTGGTAGTTGCACAAAATTGCGAATATACTAAATGTCACTGAATTGTACACTGTAAAATAGATAAAGTGGTAAATGTTATTTTCTGTGGGGAGAGAAGGAGGGCTGAAAGGAAGAAGCATGTTGCTGCAGCTGTGGAGCATGACCCACTCCCTCCCTCCTACCCATGGACAGGCCTGTCTCCTTACTGTGCCTTGCCATCCGTACCTCCAGAAAGCAGGATGAGGACTGCTGGCACGTGCTCAGGCCCTCCAGTGCACATGCTGCACAGACAGCCCCTCAGGTGGAAAGTGAGGCAGCAACCCCCAGCCCAGGGCCCCCTGCACGTTACACAGAAAGCCGAGGCTATAACGCATTTGCTAATCAGTATGTATGCAGTGCTCACCTGGGTGCTACACCAGCAGTGAGTAAGCTTAGAGCTAGAACTTATATTCCAGTGCAGGGAGACAAACAATAAATATGAAACTAGGAAGGAGATCATTTCAAGTAGCTGGAAGTGGTCTGGACAAGGGTGAGCCCGAGAATGGGTGGGGGCAGCTGTGGGCATGAAGCTGTGAGGGAAGGCCTCTCAGAAGCGGGCGGCACTTAAGATGGTCTAATGTCAGAAAATGAGTTGGCCATGCCTCAGGAATATTTGGAAAAGCTCATTCTGGGTAGAGGACATGGGAAGTGCCAAGGCCATGAGGAGGGAGAGGGCACGGCCAGTTCAGGGTCCCCAGGTAGGCCAATGAGCTGGAGCGCCAGAGGAACAGGTAGAGCTCCAGAAGAGGGTGGTGATGAGGGTGCATGGGGCCTCGTCAGCCGGGGCAGGCACTGGGGTTTCACTCAAAGGGCATCTGGGGACAACCAGAAGGCTTATTTAAGAAGAGTGTGATGGGATTAAAGTAGCTCCAATCCTGAGACAGACGAATGACTTATGAGAGGGGTCAACTTGGACCTAGATTTTTAGGGATCCATCCACTAGAACTTGAAGAATCTGGTTTTCACACCCCCAGGAGACCTGAACCCTCTACGGTATCTCCAGAGAAGAACTTGGGAGGTAAGTCAACCCCTGAGAGTGACAAGTTCATGTGGTTCCTGAGGTGGAGAGAGCCCAGGATACCTGTGTAGACAAGGCCTTTGACGGGTCTACAATATACCCTCTCCCCTGCTCTCGGACAGGTCCATGCCACTGAAGGCAGATGCCTTTTACTCAAGGGATGAACTTATTACCCCATCATTTCAAATAAAATGGGACATTCTTCTTGGTAAAAACTAGACCAAGTAATTCAATATTAATACATCGGAATTCAAACACTACTTTCTGATTGTCCTACAAAGCTATTAGGTACAAGTTTCCAGAGACTCAATTAAAGGCATAGGACACAGTATGTTAGGAGAGTATCTATCCCCACTTTACCTATTAAAAAAGTTATTTCGGGGTGACTGTGTCCCCCCAGGGACATTTGGCAATGTCTGGAGACATTTTTTGGTTGTCACACCATGGTGACCACTACTAGCATCTAGTACGTAGAGGCCAGGGATGCTGCTAAACATCCTACGACACACAGGGGAGTGCCCCAAGATAATGAATTACTCAGCCCGACACATAATGAGTGCAGAGGTTGAGAAACCTGGCAGAAGGAAAGGCCTTCAATCTACAAGTTCCTAAAATATCCTAATAATCAGCCGGTGAAAACACTCCTCTCCAGATGTCAGGAAGCAGAACCGTACGTAGGACTGCTTAGCTCACACAAAGTAGCCATTCTGGTTTTCGAGAGCATCCTGAGTCCTGTGGCCCAGCTTCAGGGCAGAACTGAAGCTGTCCTGAGTCCCTCAGAATTTGACAAGGAAGCCAGGTAAGAGAGGATCTTGCCTGTAACAAATGAAAGGGAACTTCTAATAGCCCAGGAGTTGACAGCTTTTAGAGAAATATATCTACCAGTTGGTAAGTGCAGTTTTGCTAAATATGGAAAAGAATGAATCCAATTAGTCCTGTCAGCGAGTCAAGTAGAAACTGTGCCCACTCGTGACTAAAGAAGTGAAGATCAAGACCAACAGAACAAGAACCGCCCCCAAGGACCATGGGGCTGGTCAGAGAGGATGGGGAGGGGACAGCCGAGTACCTGTCTTCCCAATTTAACACTGGGAAACCAGCTTGCAGGTGTGCAAGTGGAGGGCTCTCCTCCTGAGCCAGGGAGACAACATTCTTTTCTAGTCATTTCTAGGCACTTAGCACCCTCACTAATGATTCCGAGATCCTCTCAGGTGACAAAGAGGTGGCAGTAAGTGACAAAGTATCTCAAAATGAGAGTTATTTCTGCTTCAGTTGCCTTTTAATTCTTAACATTTGAACAAAGGGAGTAAGTTTTTCTTGTTTTTTATCATATGTAGCCTATCAAATATCTCTTTGTAACAAATGAATTAACTTTTCAGTAGAAAATATATTCACATGGTACAAAACTCAAAAGGTGCTAGCAGGTTGACAACAGAAAGCCTCCCTCCCGTCCTTAACTCTCAGCTACCTACTCCCCGCCACTGGTGAAGGTGTGTGTGTGTGTCTGTTTTCAGTGGGTACATTTCCCCCACACACAACCCACAAGTAAATTATGCCTCGCTTTCCTTTTTGTGTAGAGATATCTTTGCAGGTCATTTCCTATCATGACATATAGAGCTCCCTTGTTCTTTTTTTGCCTAAATGACTTCATAGCTCAATTGAAGGTGACAAAGTGTGCTGAGGTCCTCTACTGGCGGTGTGACTATCACAAACCAGGGCCTGTGCTTGTGGCGTGGTGACTCTCAGAAGGAAGAATTCACTCTGAGAGACATTACGGAGAGTGTGAGTGCTAGGAATCCAAGGGCGTGGGGTGGGGGTTTGTTGGATAAAACCCCAGTGGAAATTAATTAAAAGTTTTTATTTGTATAGATGCTTTAAGAATAAAAAAATTACAAGAAATCCACCAAGAAAAGAGGAAAGAATAAATGGATAAATGAGACATTCTGCAATCAAGGCAATAGAACAATTTAATAAACTGTAACCCAAACCACACTACAAATTATTTCTATTTCTAAAGAAATTCCCCGAGACAAAGAACAAATGGAGGGCTTAGTAGGTGCCGGGCGCTGTGCTGACCCTAATGACTGCCTACAGCTGAGGCATTATTTCCTCTCCCCACACTGGGCTCACCCCTGCCCACTGCACACATAAGGACACTGAGTCTCACTCACAAACACAGAGAACAAACTGATGGGTGTCAGCGGGGTGGCTAAGGGACTGGATGAAAAGGGAGAAGGGAGTAAGAAGTACAAATCGGTAGTTACAAAACAGTTATGAGATGTAGAGTAGAGCACAGGGAATATAGTCGATAATATTATAATAACTACGTACAGTGCCAGGTGGGTACTAGAATCTTACTGGGGGGATCACTGAACTAATATAAAATAATATCGAATTATCTACTGTAATTTAAAAATAAATAAATAAAATATGAAAAAAAGGATATTGAGTCTTAGAAGGATTACATTGCCCATAAATCTAGAAAAGCTGCTGAAGTCTGTTTCCTGCCACTGACAAGGGTCCAG